AATCTGGCTCGCATACTGGCAGAAGACCAATTCTGTGTTTGGCACAAATGGTAAGCCTGAGTATATCATAAACTCATACTCTGACCAGCTTACATATACTTTGCTTGAACTTGAAAACATATATCGTTTTGGTAAACACCCAAATCACGGGTGTGGTAATGGTAGCTCAAAGGTCACAATCTGTACGAACCCACGATCCAAGAAATAGGAAACCATTGCACAGCAAGTTACTTCCGCTTTAAATGAATAAATTACCCTTCAAAATTAATTGGATCATTAACCAGAAGAATACCGAAAATGGTAGAACACTATTAGACATGCCCACTGCGGAAATAATACATTTGCTAAACAGGTAAAATATGAGTGGAAAGTGATGCAGGTATGAGCTGTTTACCACTGCGGAAATAATACATTCGCTATACAGGCAAAATATGAGTGGAAAGTGATGCAGGTATGAGCTGTTTACCACTGCGGAAATAATACATTCGCTATACAGGTAAAATATGAGTGGAAAGTGATGAGGTATGAGCTGTTTACCACTGCGGAAATAATACATTCGCTATACAGGTAAATATGAGTGGAAAGTGATGAGGTATGAGCTGTTTACCACTGCGGAAATAATACACGCTATACAGGTAAATATGAGTGGAAAGTGATGAGGTATGAGCTGTTTACCACTGCGGAAATAATACATTCGCTATACAGGTAAATATGAGTGGAAAGTGATGCAGGTATGAGCTGTTTACCACTGCGGAAATAATACATTCGCTTTACAGGTAAATATGAGTGGAAAGTGATGCAGGTATGAGCTGTTTACCATCCTGGTGAAATCTACGAGCAAGTGAATTGTGCTTACAAAACCAAAATTTATTAGATTCAAACCCACGTTGATTGGATTCTGCCAAGCCTAAGGGATGCAACTATGCGCAGCCAGTAAATGCTTCAGTCTTCACCTGGGACACTCGTGATCCTTGTAGACGAGATAATAAGTGCGATGTAATGAAGAGATTTGTTGGTTTGTTGTTTAAAGCCGCACTCAGTAATATTCAAGCTATATGGTGGCTGTATATAATCGAGTCTGGAGCAGACAATCTAGTGATCAACATCATTAGCATCATGCTATGATAAACTGAAACGTTAAACGTTGAGTACGTCCATGTTTATTGCCCCGCCAACAGAGGTTTCACTGACGCGCTCATTTGTCATTCAAACGCTTCACAATTATATTCCATTGACGATAATGAAATCGTTTCAACCAAATTGTTAAACATGGCAAAGCATTTAAGCCTGACAGCAGATACACTGAGGATTGTTAATAATTGCTATAAAGTGGACACGCCAGAAAAATATTTTTATGTGTTGACATTTTCAATATTGCACGGACATCTTCTCGTGTTGACATAGATAGGTGAATATTCATGTTATACATGTATATCCAATAGTATTTAGAATCATGGGCTGTAATTGTACAGATATTTCCCATCAAACATATCAGCAAAGGGAGGCCCAGCGAGAGATATATCAGAGCCATTATACGCCTGGGGACATACGCCCGCGATGTTTAAAGGAATTATGACAGTAGTAATTGCAATTTGGAAATCTCCCATCGGAACCTTTCTTACACATAGCCCACTTCCATGCCGTGACGAACATTCCCTTGCTGCCAGAAACTCCGAACATGATATCGGCATCGCTTCAAAAGCGATCACACAGCTTATTACAAGCAATAACATGAGGCAATAGAGTATGAAATGGTGTGCTCACGCTGAGCTGTAGAGTTAATCGATGACGCCAAAGGTGTGGACAATAATTGCCCCCACCCAACGCGATGTTGTCCAAATACAAACCTTCCAAAACATTACCGGTGTCAGCCAAGGGCTCTCAATGACTGTCTAAAAGTCGGCTATGTTTAGTCATCTCATCGCAAGTGAGCTGAAAGGTTTTGTCGGCATATTTGGCATATCCACCGCCCCCGCCTCCACTCGATCAATGCATTGACATCTTCTTCGATCATCTACAATTGCTTAAGCGCTGTCTCTGGAACCAGATCAATGGTCTTGAATGAACTGCTAAAGTTGGTCCTTCAACGTTATAGTTACTATATCGATAATCGTTTGGGAACTCCATCTTAATTTAAGTAACACATTACAGTTTAAGGGGTAACGATAATAGATAAAAGGTCAAAAGGGTTTAGAGAAGCTTGAAAATAACTTGATGATGATTTGGCGTGACTTTGTCCTTTATCGGTCCAGCGCGAGTATGACGGTGGGAGAGTGTATTTACACAGTCCGTGCGTCTGTATTGTAAGACACGTACTGTCTACAAGAGCGGATGTGTTTCAGACAAGGATGGGGTCTAATTCAGATATAAATGGTTTAACTAAACACGAGTATTAATAAAACCGTAAAATGAGTTGTAATAAGCGTAGTAGAACCACGTTTATTTAGTATTTTTCTTTTTGTCAATTTCAACCAAATTTTGAAGTTACATTCATTGTTGTAAAAGAACAAGTGTACTAGAATGCATTTTGTAGCTTCTGGAAGACAGAGACGAAAAGTGTTCTAGAGAATGTACGTAAGCGTTCATATTCAGGTAGTAGGAATGCATTTCATTTCATAAGATGGAAATGGACAAAATATTTAGGTGATGAAGATAAAGTAAACTGACGACCTTGGGTGAAAGAAGTCGCCATTATCCCAAAGTTGGGTTTTTTTCAATATTTTTATTCATTTCAGATAGGTATACAAAGACAGAGAGTACACAACTCCATGTTAGGGCTGGATACATTTTGGCAACAAATAGTTAAAAAAATTCCAAAGTAAGAGAATATAGTTACTAGTATACAAAGTCAGGGAGTGCACAACTCCAGCAGCAAACTTTATGGGTTACAGGCATGTTCGAAACCTAGCTAACCACTCCAGCAACAGACTCCACGGGTTACAGGCATGTTCTAGCTAGTTATACATCAGCAACAAGATTTAGCAATTTCGAAGTGTGGAAACATAGGTACACAAAGTCAGGGTGTGCACCACTCCAGCAACAGACTCCACGGGTTACAGGCATGTTCTAGCTAATTATACATCAGCAACAAGATTTACTAATTTCGAAGTATGAAAACATAGGTACACAACGTCAGGGAGTGCACCACTCCAGCAACAGACTCCATGGGTTACAGGCATGTTCTAGCTAGTTATACATCAGCAACAAAGTTACTAATTTCGAAGTATGAAAACATAGGTGCCATTATCCACAAGTTGGTTGTAGATTGTGGCTATATTAATTAGATGGTCAGAGGCTGTGACTTGGCTAATTGTGTGGTAATTTGCCCCAATGATGATGGGAATTGATCCTGGGTTACTACCGTTGTACCAGGTACAGATATGTCGACTTCACCCAGTTACTGAGTTAGTGAGTAAGGTTTAAGGGCTCTTTGAACAGTATTCTATGTATATCAGGACGTGGCGGTTTAATGAGGGAGATTTAATGTGGGGACTGATGTAGGTCTCAAAACCCATGAACACCGGGTATGGTGCTGTCAACATAGAAACATAAGCCGGACCGATGGAATCATGGATTCGAACCCATGATCACATGTTCAAGTACCCAACACTGAAATGCAAATCGCAGCGCCTTAGGCTACAAGACCACAAGCGCTACCCTGCACTCGGTGACCCCTATGTTGTGTAAGAGTTTAATGAGCTCGTTTACATGTTCACGGATCTATTACCCCGAAAGGTTTATGAAAAAGGTATGCATTAGAGCGTGTGCTATTATAACTACCTATAGTAGCTATAACTATAATAGTGTGTTGAGGCTTAAACGATTGTCATACTTGTTGGGTCTAACGCCGTCTACCCAATATGATGCTTTAGATGATTGCATGTACCATGAAAATATACCAGAAAGATGCGTTATGTTATGAGATTGCGTTGAATCATGTTATTAGTGTGTATGGTCAATACTGCTTATTTATGAGGAAAAATACAAATATCTATTTCAAAGTAAATTGTATGTCATTCTTCACACTGTTTGGATTTTGTCCGCAGTGTGCAGACATTTTGTCATGTTGGGATTTTGTCAGTTTGGGATATTGTCCATGTGGGTTTTGTCCTACCCTCTTCCAGCAATTTTACAGCATGTCAACTTATTGGTGGAAACCACAAGGAGACTTAAATCTTAGACGCTTACGACTTCCATGAAACCGGAAAATTATGGATATGTTTACAAACTTTAAAAGATAATCAGGTTGTAACTGGGATTCAAACCCAAGGTCATAAGTAACTGGAACGTTTAAGTGGCGCAACTGTGCACATTGAATTGCCACCTCAGACCATTTGGTTATTGCTCCTAATCCTTCTGTGATAGGAAACCAAAGCCATTATACTGGCATTGTGCCATGAACTTCTGTAACCTCAATCTGCCCCATATGAATAGTGTCCTTTTAGGGTGTTATACTTTCCAAACTGTGTGTAATTATACACGTAAGCAGGTGGAACATTATTCCCAGAAATTCACACAAGCTGAAAGTAGTTGACTCGCAGTGTTTGTAACTTCTCTCTTGACATATGTATTGCTGTGCTTGGATACAATACAACTTAGATGTGAAAGTTTCTGATATGATATTAAGAAAATTGTATGATGTTTTCACTTTTGTAGAAGTAGAAAGTCGTAATTTTAATTTCAGGTTGAATGAAAGCTTACTTCCAATTATTAGGAAACCAGAGAAAACTGGATCCTTAACTAAGATGTGTATATTTCGAAGTAAACGTTGTTGTTGTCTTCTCGAACTCATTTGACACCGAGAAAGGATATAATTCGATTTAACTGCATGAGGATTTACTTGGCCTTACTAGGGGCTAGGGGGGCGGTGGGGTAGCCTAGTGGTTAAAGCGTTGGCTCGTCACGCCGAAGACCCGGGTTCGAATCCCAACATGGGTACAATGAGTGAAGCCCATTTCTGGTGTCCCCCGCCGTGATATTGCTGGAATATTGCTAAAAGCGGCGTAAAACCAAACTCAGTCAGTCAGTACTAGGGGCTAGGGAATGGACCTCGTCCAAATACACTGACGGTCAAAGGAAAGTATACGCCCATGTTCTAAAATAGCTAAACTTGAAACAAAAGGGAAATGTTTAACCAATGGTGATATGTTTGATATGATTACATGCACAATAGGACTTAGTGTATCACAACAGATGCACATAACCTGTTCCGATTCCCCACATTGGTACAATGTGTGAAGCCCATTTCTGGTGTCCCCCGCCGTGAATTTGCTGGAATATTGCTAAAAACGGCGTAAAACATGACCCCGAAAGGAACATTGTGATCGCAATTTCACAGAATACAGTAATGAGCAGCGTTCATGTAATTACTTTATTTTCCCCTGTACTTTGTCACAACAGGGACGAATACATCTCCGTTATGACACACTATCTCCAGACCGTTGAAATTACTGACAGACAGGTAGATATTGGGATTTTGTGTTCGTCTATAGCTTATATCAAATCAGTTTCGTACGTCCAAGTTCACTCCCACACGTACCAGAAACCAGACACAAAATGCAGCAAAAACGTCCCCTGACAATCCTGTGTCTGGAATGTTTAATCTGGTTTCAAAGTAAAAATGCTTCATGAGTGCAATCCATTGAAACGTGAGCGGAGCACGGCTTACCGCGAAGCACCCAGCATGGGAGCAAAATCCGACCTAGGACTGGGTCACCCAATTCCTCAGCTTAGCATAGCGTAACAGGGCATCGACCTCGCTAAATGCTAATATAAGACCAACTCGCAATTGTGAACGTCACCAGCATAATGAAGAGATTTATGAAGCTGAAAAAATAAGTATGCATGCGCAATACATCGTTCAATATTGAGCAACCTCATGTTACATTGCAGCCTCATCCTGCTGAGAAGAATGTTGGTCGGTTAAAGACATTTATGGATTCTTGTTTTCTGATGTTTTGCATATATTAGACATACATAAAGGCTTATAATATTGTACAAATGTAAATGATGTTGTCCGCATGTGACTAGCTTTGGGATTACGTAGAGTTTTGTTTTTTGGTGTTGTTATTTTGTAATTTATTTTATGAATTTTTTTAAATTTTGCTTTTGTTTTGTTGTCTTGTTTTTTTGTTATTTATTAGGGTTTGTTTTCTGGAGGGGGTCTGTTGGGTTTGCTTTGGGGATATTTTGTTCGGATTGGAGATTGTTTAGCATTTTTCCAGAAACTTCACACGTTTCAGCCGTGGATGAATAGAACTTGGATAACCAGCATGACGTGTTATTGCTTTCACCACTACGGGGGATGGGGTTTCATAAGAGTGTTGCTGCTTGGCTATTCCAAATCTAGACAGATCATGGCATATACCCTCTGACGTACATGCACTTTAATGTAAAAGTAATGTAAATATACAAGTTTATTGCGTTGATTCAGAGGTTGGATGTTGAAAGTAGCATTTGATAAATAAAAATCAATTAACATGCAAAGGTTGGGGGAATACATCTAAAGTTGTATCGTAGGTTTTCTTTTTGCAGATCATAAGATAGTTCTGTGGGCATTTCGAGTTTACAGATTGCATTGTTTCCCCCAAGTCAGGTTTCAGTGATAGCATAATTTGAAAATAAGTGACAAAATCGCTCAATGACCATAAGAATTATATTTTTGACTGTCTGACTGAGTTTAGTTTTACGCCGCTTTTAGCAATATTCCAGCAATATCACGGCGGGGGACACCAGAAATGGGCTTCACACAGAAATATATTTTTGAAATCATTTCAGTTGCACAATTCCGATTTATTCATGTGTGTTTACGAACCACAGGATGGTTAATGGTTGGAAATATTAACCATGGAAAATAATGGAACACAGCCACAGTAAAAATAAATCTGTAATCGTCATAATGTTTGTTTGTTCCTTTATGCTGCACTGAACAATATACCATGCATATTGCATAACGTGTATAACGCGACCTGTAAATAACTCATTATCTGAGGTTCCATGTATGTACATCATGGGCAACAATCAACGCCAGCGGTAACCTATGATGCGATATCAACCTAGTCACTGAGAGTCGTACAACCGGTAAATGCTGTTGAACCTATTCTAATCTATTCTATTCTAATGAGTAAATCCTCCCGGGATTCATTCTTCGTTTGCAATTCTGTATGCGCAGATTTTCATTCAGCTTTATGGTAGAACAAATAACGTTTCCTATTACCGTTTCCTTATTCCTTATTCTGTTTATGGTGAATGGAAAACAAATAACGAGTTGTTGAGGAACATTGGAGACGAAGAGTAACTGTATTGGTGACACCGCTCAGCCATCGGATTCCTGAGACTCCCTCAGGCATACCTGTTGATGTTTTAGGGCGTCACCAGTACTACAGCACACTTTACACATACAATAGATAATTGTTCTTCTTCAAGCTTTGACGTCTTCCTTCACATAGTGTCTGTCAACTCGAGTATTCCGACTGTTGTTGTCATGGTAAATCTTTAAGGGTTTAGCAGAAGAAAGAAAGATGGCCACTCTCTTAAAACTACATGTGGAATCTATCAGTGAGGATTTGGGTTAGAATTGGTCTTCAGCAGTCCTTGCTTGTGACTAACGTTACCGGATGGTCAGGCTCACTGAATTGGTTGATGCGTGTCATCGTATCCCCATTGCCAAGAATGATGCACAAGGTGTCAGTCACATGATTGTCTGGTTCAGAAAGTTGTAATTTAGTTTGAATGCAGCTGCGGTGGGTGAAGACACAAACAAGCAACACCTGTAAACTCCTTCCTGTATATGTCATGTCTTATTGGAGATTGTCCATATTATTTTTGTTTGTTGTTTAGCGCCGCGCTCAGCAATATTCCAGCTATATGACGGAGGTCTGTAAATATCGATTCTGAACCAGACAATCCAGTGATCAACATCATGAGCATCCATTTATGTAATTGGGATACGATGACGTGTGTCAACCAAGTCGGCGAGCATGACAACCCGATCCCGTTAGTCGCCTCTAACGACAAGCATGGGTTGCTGAAGAAAAAAAAACATATAAAATACGCATAATCTATTATGTACTATGTACTAAAAACTATTTTTTGTTCAGATGGTCAGGTTCTAATAAAACGGAAATTAATTAAATGCTTAATTTTCCGCTTTCTATATCAATCACAAGGGAAACAGTAATGCATTGTGCCACCACTTAACCAACGACACCACTTGACTCACATGCAGTCATATGCAGCCTCGTCTTCTGATAATGCATTCCACATCTTCTCACTTTTTTATCAGAATTTTAAATATTTATACTAGTTTGGCTGCTAAAATATTTGCCACCTGTGACATTGATTAAAAAATATTTTGCTTTAAAATTGGCACTTCCAGATGCTAGAAGCCTGGAGTAAAATTTCATTCCAAAACATCAAAAAAGCATTCAGGAATATTGAATATAGACATGTACTTGACTCAAAGGCATCGATTTACGTATACATTTCAACCTAAGCAATCAGAGCCCAGCATTCCACATACGGCACCATACAAGATTGTGGCTGTCACAAGCATCAGATTCGACCTTTACTAAACCACCAAGTGTTACAAGTTTGGTAACACTTCATATAAATCAATTTTCGGGACGGAAATTCAGGATTATCAAGATTTTATGTAATCCACCTTACTGACTTTGGTACTTAAATGTCTGATCACTTTACATACTTTCTTCTCTTCTCAATGGATTCTCAGCATTTCTATGGCACTCCTATAGCTAGTAGATCTAAAATAGAATCTTTACCGTAGCTTTAAATAAAGTACCTCTGAAAATCAAAAACAACCTTTTCAGGAGTATTGAATGATGCAATGAGACCGAGTCCCATTCACAAGGCTCCAAATGCCAACCACCCCCGCACGGCTGTATATAGCCCTGTAGTGTAAGAATCTACTAATTGATTAAAAGCATTGGAGCTGTACTGAGCTAACGTCCACTGCTGTGCTCAAACCCAGCTTAAATGTCATACGAGGGAATGATATTAGAAGAAACGTTTGAAGGTGCTTACGCACTCAAAATTGTTTTAAGACCAGTAGGTCAATGTATTCTTAATCAAAGAGGGACGTTCTTAACAGACGCAATGTATCAGTGAGCAATATAAAGACCAAAGCAGGTATGCAGTAACGAAAATATCATGGTATAAATAGGGTGACTATTGTCTAAATAAGTACATAACAGCATTAGTGTGTTGTCAGTTGGGCAATGTGTGTTGTATAAAATAGACTGCTTCTGAAACCTTTATGTAGTATAAGAAAGGCTGAGGTTGCTTTCAGTTGTTGGTTTAATTGGGCAATCAGATTATGCCCATTTGGCAAATCTTTGACATTTACACTATGCGTGTTAATGGATAAAAAAGTACTTCAAAGAGATTGAGAATACCATGAACACAGCAGCAATTTGCATTCTATATTGAAATAACAATGTGAGCTTTACAAAATGGTTCAGTGTGTATTGAGAGTCGATCAATAATACTGCGCCCTTATCAGGGAGATCATTAATAAGTGAAGATGCAAGAAAAGTATATATTAGGTCAAAACCTTTCCATAATCGCTAGAATTCTCACCTAAATCAGAATCGATAGTACGATTCCTACCGTATCCTGAACATGTGTTTCTGAATCTCTGTCAAACAGCGATGATAGCAAGTGTTCTCGAAAAAGTGAGCGTAACCTACCCCACCCTTGGCTCCCGTCACAGGCACATGGAAAGGCAAGTCAACTGTTGACTAGAAAAAGAAACAAAACCTGACTGCCTGGTGCAGGCTCAAATAGAGATTTGTACCGAACATCAGATTTGTCAGTAATGGGTCATATTTTGAAGTGTCATGCTTGCATAAAGCCTGTTGGAAGCTTAAGATATTCAATGTTGTAACCGTGATCAAGCAACGTTTGAGCTCGAGTCGAATTACATTTTCTAAATCTTCGTAGAAAGAGCAGTAACTATTTTACAGTTTATAACAGTAAGAAAACCAATAACGAGCGTGTGTAAACTAAGGTTACTGTGTTCTTTGTCATAAAGTGATACAGTTTCAGGTCGTATTTAACTGCCAAATTGTACCCATTCTTCTGACGATAAGGTGATCGTTGTTTCGTTCAGTTGACGATGGACATTCTAATCTATTCTATTCTAACTCTTTTCATGGGGTTCATAGCTCGTTTGCATTGCTTATGCGTAGATTTTAGTTCAGCTTTGATATGTGAATATACAATGTCATTTAGAAGTTGTCAAATGTTACACATGTTACATTAGGGATAAAACTGTATAAGTAAAGCACGGATTCTAGTACTTTGGTTGGGTTGAGTCCCATTTGGATTTCGAACCCACACTCTCAGAGTCAGGCAGGTAATCGCCAAAAGTCAGCCGTCTAACCCAACCACTCACCGCAGCTTCCACTGAAAGGAAGTCGGACAACAGATAGTCAAGACCACGGACTTTGTGTACCCCTCTGATCAGTGTAATTGGGAGCCATGCCGCATCAATCAAATGGGAAAAGGTAATACATTGTGGCACCACTCCACGAACGACACCACTTGAGTTACATACAGTCACCTGCAGTCTCGTCTTCAGGTGATGCATTTCCAAATTTTCACACTTGTCTATCAGCATTTTAAATATTTATGCTAAGTTAGCTGCCAAAACATTTGCCACCTATTATTAAAAACATGGTAAATAGTTTGCTTTAAAATTTGCACCCCTAGTCTGCTAGAAGCCTGGAGTAGAATTCCCATCCAAAACATCAAAAAAGGGATTCAGGAGTGTTTAACATAATTGACATAAAAGAATCGATATTTATGTAAATATTACAACGTTGTGATAGCAGTCAGAGCCCAGCATTCCACATACGGCACCTTACAAGATTGGGGCTGTCACAAGCATCAGATGCAACCTTTACTAAACCACCAAGTGTTACAAGTTTGGTAACACTTCATATAAATCAATTTTCGGGACGGAAATTCAGGATTATCAAGATTTTATGTAATCCACCTTACTGACTTTGGTACATAAATGTCTGATCACTTTACATACTTTCTTCTCTTCTCAATGGATTCTTCAGTATTTCTATGCCACTCCTAGTAGATCTAAAATAGAATCTTTCCCGTAGCTTTAAATAAAGTACCTCTGACAATCAAAAACAACCTTTTCAGGAGTATTGAATGATGCAATGAGACCGAGTCCCATTCACAAGGCTCCAAATGCCAACCCGCTGGGCTGTATATAGCCCTGTAGTGTAAGCATCTACTAATTGATTAAAAGCATTGGAGCTGTACTGAGCTAACGTCCACTGCTGTGTTCAAACCCCAGCTTAAATGTCATACGAGGGAATGATATTAGAAGAAACGTTTGAAGGTGCTTACGCATTCACAAATTTTTAAGACCAGTAGGTCAATATATTCTTAATCAAATGTATCAGTGAGCAATATAAAGACCAAAGCAGGTATGCAGTAACGAAAATATCATGGTATAAATAGGGAGACCATTGTCTCAATAAGGACATAACAGCATTAGTAGAATAGACTGCTTCTGAAACCTTTATGTAGTATAAGAAAGGCTGAGGTTGCTTTCAGTTGTTGGTTTTATTGGACAATCAGATTAAGCCCATTTGGCAATTTGTGTGTTTTACACTATGCATGTTAATGGATAAAAATGTACTTCAAAGAGATTGAGAATACCATGAACACAGCAGCAATTTGCATTCTATATTCAAAGAATAATGTGAGCTTTACAACTTCTAACAAAATGATTCAGTGTGTATTGAGAGTCGATACTGCGCCCTTATCAAGGGTATTATTACTAAATGAAGAGGGAAAAAAGTAAATATGAGCGGTAAAGCCTTTCCATAGTCACAAGAAATCTCACCCAAAGCAGAATCGATTGTACGATTCCTATCCTATAAAGAGCCTGCGTTTATGAATTACTATCACAGTGATGCAAGTGTTCTTGAACAGGTAAGCTACCCTGCCCCACAGTCGGTACCCGTTACGAACACATGTTTAGGCAAGGAAACTGTTCGCTCGGAAAACAACACCGAATGTATGGTTTACGTTTAAATACAAAATTGTATTGAACATCATTTTTGTCAGTAATGGGTCATACTGTACAGATAAAGTAACGCAAGTCTGGCTTTTTGTCAAGTTTTTTAATAAAGACAACCAAAATCATGTCTTATCATTTATACTATAGAAAACACTGTCAATTTAACAGTTGAAAGTTGCTGTTGACATTGAATTGCAATAAGTTCAAATTGATCACAGTCCGTCAGATGGAGATACCCCTGAACGCGAAAAGTGACAGTCTCTTTAGTAGCGCGTATAGCCACCTTGACCTTGCACACAGGCCGTGCAACGTGGCCTCATTGAGATCACTAGAGTCTGAAAGACTGCCTGAGGCAACTAGTTCCGCTCAAACACCAATCTGTATTCCAATTGTGCAACTCTGAGTGGCTGTCTACCTGCCCCAATCCTCCGTCCAATTTCGTCCCAGAATGTTCAAAGGGAGCCATATCCGGGAAAGAGGCGGCCATGGAAAAATGTTAACGTTGTTCTGAGCCAAATGATCAATCAACACTCTTGTTGTGTGAGGGCTGCTGGCGTTGTTGACGTGTCAAAACTGGCCCCACATATGACCGTCGGCAGTGGATTCCACCAGCCCGAAGACGACGCCTAATCGTATCGCTGGACACTGCTCCACTTGACCCAAGAACTAAGGCTGCTGTTACTGTTTCTGCTTGAGTTCGGTTCTTTAGATGAGTGACCCGGATGAACCGATCTTGCGTATGAGTTGTCACTCGTTGCCGTCCGGTACAGGGACGATCAGCAGCAACCCCGGTTTGCTGATCACGTTGAGCAAGTCGTGTAATGTGGTAAGATGACAGCCCAATTGCCTAGCTACAGCGGTTGCAGAGATACCTTCGTGCAACTTTCCAATGGCCACTCCCCTCTGCTCAGTCGTTAGTCTAGGCATCGTTTGTGTGGCGTGTACACCTCCTAGCGTCAATACTGAACTATTTTTTGACACAAACCTTTATAAACAATACCTCAGAAGTAAACGCATGCTTTTTCATCCAGAACCGTCGACGCAAGTGCTAAAATTATGGTTTTGCTGCACTGTTGGTGTGTTTGTGCGAATGGTTCGTATGGACGTCAAATTGCATGACATCATCTCATCTGGGATCATTACGTCACTTTACCATGAACGTTCCATAAACATGAACGCTTACCTTCATGAAATTTCATTTTGCCGAAACTTGCGTTTCTTTTGCTGTTCAGTATATTGTGAAGTTATGCTTGCACAAAGCCTGTTGGAAGTTTGAGGTATTCAATGTAGCAGTTAACCGTGATCAAGCAAGAGTGAAATGATAGTTTCCACATCTTCGTAAAACTATCTTACAGTTTATAGCAGTAAGAAGACCAATAACCAGCGTGTGCAAACTAAGGTTATTGTGTTCTTTATCCTAAAGTGATACAGTTTCAGAAGTATATAACTCTCAACCTGTCCCCTTTCCTTTGACGAGTAGGTGACCGGGGTTTGGTTCAGTTGAGGACATTCTAAACTATTTTATTCTAATGAGCTAATCCTCGTGGGGTTCATCGTTCGGTTGCATTTCTCTATGAGCAGATTTTCATTCAGCTTTGATAGGGTAGAGACAATAACTTTTCCTATTAACGTTTCCTTATTTTGTGTATGGCGCACGGATCACAAATAATGAGATGTTAAGGAACACTGGCGTCGGAGAGTATTTGCATTGGTGACACCGCTCATCAATCCGATTCCTGAGACTCCCTAAGGCATACCTGTTGATGCTTTAGGGCGTCAGTAGTATTATAGCACACTCTACACATACAATAGGTAAACTCGAATATTCAGACTGTTGATGTAATAAGCCTTTGAGGGTTTTGCTGAAGAAAGATGGCTATTCTCTTAAACTTCAAGCCTACCAATCAATCAATCATTTTATCCTATAATAACCACGATTGGTGGTACGAGAGCGAATACAATTATTACATATACAAAAACAAATGAAACAGATACATAGTAATAACTATATATAAATACAAAATATAATACCAGATGCCTGTAGCGTGTTAAACAGTTCATTTTTTATAAGGGATAATAGTTTTGATACAAGTTTTGATAAATTGATCATTTCTATAGTGTCATTAGTTGAAAATAATTTGACAAAATTTTGCAGATTTGTATATTTTGTTTTGGGGGATGATAAACATATTTTTCTAGCATCACAAAGGCTTTGACATTCAAAAATATAATGAAATTCATCAGCAATAGATGTAGACTGACAACGTTTACAAGGTCTATCACAGCGTGCTATGTTCACCCTTTTGGAAGATTGTGGTTAGAGGTCATAAATCTGAATTATGGAACAGAGATTTGCATTGGGAAAGATAGGTATGTATCGAATAGTGGATACTTTTTAAGGTATTGAAAATAAAATCCTTTTGAGCTTGAAGCAATATCATTTCTCCACTTTTGAATAAATTGATCTTAAGGTATTTGTTCTTCATGTGAAGCTAGCCACCGAGTGTAAAAAATGCCTCCATTTTTAGGTTTGTGAATGGCGGATGCCACGGGTTGGTTATGATAATCTTACAACACCTGGTGTCATCCGTGATTTTCAGTGATCCATTCATAACGTTCCACATCTATTTGTCCCTTTACACCCAACAGATACGTCAAGACTGGATATTCTTCTTCGGTGACGTTCTGCACTACACTTTTATTCAACGAGAATTCAACCGCTTGGTTAGCAGAATAAAGGCTCCAACCCTACAGCTTAAACGAGTAAAGGTTTTACTTTGAAGCATTCATGTCTTTTAAGACATGAGAAAAAAACATGAAAGAAATTCTTCGCATTCAGTGGAGAAAATGCAAATCAAGAAAAGTAATTTGACATTCCTTTGAAGTAAAAACATTTTGCGAAAGAAAAACAACAACAGAAAACTTTATTGTTTAAGACAATCAGCAAACCCTTATGATCCTTTACAATATCACGAACAGCAAGCTGAATTTCGCTCTCCTCTGATCGATTGTTACACATGATACGTTACCTGGTAATTGAAGATCACCTCCCATAGCAATATCCAAATACAATTACCTATGTCCGGCTCAAAGGCAGTGACGAGGAATCGACGAGAAATCATCCTTCATAGATCGTAAATATGTATCTGTACTTTAATTTGTAAAAAGAAACAATTACAATTTCGATTTTCATATTGATAATATATATTGCTAGGCAATCATTTCAGGTTTACCAGTGTACATCTTTCATAGATCGTAAATAAGTATCTGTAAAAAGAAACAATTACAATTTCGATTTTCATTTTAATAATTTATAACTTGCTAGGCTTTAATTTCAGGTTTTCCAGTGTACATGTACCGCCAGAATATTGCTGATTGCGGCGTTAAACCAATAGGTACCAGCTATCGACGAAAGAGCGGTTTCAACCATAAGGTCATCCTGATATACTTCTGTGATGTCAATATATGACTCCTGATATACTTCTGTGATGTCAGTATATGACTCCTGATATACTTCTGTGATGTCAATATATGACTCCTGATATACTTCTGTGATGTCGGTATATGACTCCTGATATACTTCTGTGATGTCAATATATGACTCCTGATATACTTCTGTGATGTCAATATATGACTCCTGATATACTTCTGTGATGTCAATATATGACTCCTGATATACTTCTGTGATGTCAATATATGACTCTGCAATATTTTGTTTTTAATATCCCGGCAATAACAGTCCAATATCTGAGGCCGAGTCAAGTAATCTTAACACATTTTCTTTTAAAAACAGACCCACACTTAAACCGATCTGAAGCAATAGCAATAACCGAAACACTACCAAACGCGCCATGCTGACGTCATGTCACCTGAGAAGCCTTTTCCGAAGGCCTCCAAAGACTCTTCACATAAAAGCGTGATTGAACATACAACATGTCTCTTATCTCTCTTCTGTTTTTAGACTACGAGTGTCGTTGAGTCGCAGTTGTTTCGGGGCAAGGCTTTCATAACAAGTAGAATGTACTTTGGTGTCAACAAAAATGCATTAAGATATCAAAAAAATATTGAACGATGTTAAATATCTGTGACACTGGCATCGTCCAATCAGTACTTAATACTTGGTAAAGCTTGAAGTAGTGTGTAAAAGGTTTGGGGTTTAATGTTTACGATGATATAACCATACCAAGCTTATTGTAATATGAGATCCCACAGTGTGGTCGGCAATAAATATACTGACGAGGAAATGTATATATTATTTATTTGGGCATTTATCCGCAGGTATCTTACTTCATCCTAGGATACATTCTCAATTCATGTTTTCTAGCTGATGATTCTCTGCATCTGATTTAGGTGAGTGAGTGAGTGAGTGAGTTTAGTTTTACGCCGCACTCAGCAATATTCCAGCCATATGGTGGCGGTCTGTAAATAATCGTGTCTGGACTAGACAATCCAGTGATCAGCATCATGAGCATCGATCTGCGCAATTGGGAACCGATGGCATGTGTCAACCATGTCAGCGAGCCTGACCACCCGATCCCGTTAGTCGCCTCTTACGACAAGCATGGGTTACTGAAGATCAATATTCTAACTCGGACCTTCACGGGTCGCATCTGATTTAGGAAGATCAATATGATGAAATACTGACGAAAGTTTTTTCACCTGGGATGTCACCTTGCCAATGTTAAAAATACACGTCCTGTAAATTCGCTTCGATGGAAATCAATCATTTCAAGGGACCTGTAACGGAAATGGAACGTTTCAACGGGACCGAAACTGACGATTAACCAAAAAGAATAATGTACAGCACTGTGCCAAAAGTGTTGCAAGAAAAATGGCCGCCGCTCTAAGTAGAGGTTCTCACCTGAAATTTTCAAGCAATGAATACGACTTTAAAATAATGTTTTTCTTATCTTGTTTTGACTAGTATTTAGTGATATAACCTCTCTGAATCCCTACACTCCTCAATATCCGTGGAACTGACTGGTATAAACTGGATATATACACTGGGGTCAGGCTTTGCCAGATCCTAGTTACACAGTCTGTGAGGTCCTGGCGTGTTTGGAGTTTGACACATTTCCTAACATTTTCTATAATGTTGAGGTCTGGAGATTGTGCAGGCCAGACAAAAGTAAGGAGGTTGTTTGCTGTTTTCCACTCTGTAGTCAGTCTTGATCTATGGGGTGTAGTATTGTCATCTTGGAAAATACATTCATTATTATGTCACAACAGGCCATACTTGTTCATCAATGAGTTCAATATACTTCTGTGAGTTTAGGGTACCCTCAACAGGCACAAGTGTTCCAACGCCATCCTTCGTTATGCACCCCAAAAACATACAGCTAATCCGAGCCGATACCTTCAGTGCGTTCAGACACTCGGGTCCCCACTTCTCCTCAGATTTTCCCCAAACATAAACAGACTTGTTCTTTCCAATCACCATCTGAGTTTCATCAGAGAAAATAATTTTCTTCCAATAGTCAAGTGGTAAATGTTTCTTATTCCTGCACCAAGCAATCCTCTTTCTTCAGTTCACCTTAGAAATTGTGATAGTTTTCCGAATAGTACATTTTCGAAAACCATAGAAATGGAGTCTTCTTTGAACTGTTCTTTTAGATAATACTTGGCTGTGTACCTTATTGAATTCAGTAGTCAAATCTGTCAAAGACTGCCTACGAATACCTTGCACCATACGACAAAGTCGGCGATCAGTTCTCTGGTCAGACAATTTGGGCCTCACACTTCTAGCCTTGTTTTCTACTGAACCGCAAGCAGAAAATTTCTTCCAGACTCTAGAGACAGTAGATTCGTGTATCCCCAAAATCTTAGCAATGTTGCAATTTATTTCTCCACTCTGTTTAAAAAATATTAACCTTTCTTTCAACCTGGGAGTCAATTCTCTTCTGACAGCAGCCATGATTTCATCTCCAGTGTAAACAGGATGTCGTTTGCTCCACCTACTTCCTGTAGGTGCTAGGTGAAAAAGTAACCCCTAAAATATGTTCCTATACCAAAATTTATTTTTTTATGTAAACGGTGTAAAAAAAAGTATCCAAATACCTAACGTCCATCTCAGCTCAAATACAGTGGCAGCCATTTTCTTGCAACACTTTTGACATGGTGCTGTAGATATAGTTTACATTAATATCTGATCTTTGTACAATTGTATCAATACCGCGATTACACGGCATCATCCCTGTTCGCATCGCATCGCATCGCATCGCAATATATCACAGCGCTCGGAACAAATCACAAGGCATTACAAAAAGCTCATGCTCAGGCGAGTAAGTATGGTTTTACGCCGCTTTAAGCAATATACCAGCAATATCATGGCCGGGCCATCAGAAATGGGCTTCTTACACATTACCCATGTGGGGAATCGAAACCGGGTCTTCAGCGTGAGGAGCGGCCCCTTTAACCATTAGGTTACCCCACCGATGAGCTCGAGCATGTTTTATACGCAGCACGTTACAGCACTGTATATTCCGACAAGTCCGTTTCGTAGCGTTATAGGGGCGGTATGGTAGATTTGTGGTTAAAGCGTTCACTCGTCACGCTGAAGACCCGTGTTCGATTCCCCACATGGGTACAATGTATGATGTCCATTTCTGGTTTCCCCCGCCGTGATGTTGCTGGAATATTGCTAGGAGCGGCGTAAAACTAAACTCACTGACTCGTAACGTTATGATAACGTTTATCATAGACGTACGAATGTCGTAGCGCTACGAACGTTTTGTGGATCAGGGCCTCGTTCCTCAACACGATCGTAGCGCTAAGATGATCGTAACTCCCATACTTTAACATAGACTTACGACTGTCGTAGCGCTACGATCGCTTTCAGGAACGGGGCCCAGGACCCCAAAACGATAACTGACAGCATGTTTCAAAGCGAATCAGTTTTTATAGACCTTCTTTGAGTAGAATATGATCCACTTCAGCCAGTTCACAAAGATTATCAACACACTATATAAATCCTTTTGATAAAACATTCAACCCACGTGCTTCTTAAATGAATTAGAAAGTCTACACTGCAAGCCTGCAAGAATAGTTATATCTTACCTTCTAAGCAAAGGAGGCTAATTTAGAAATGATTATTTCAAAACGCCATCCACGACACCAGTTACCATTCGTTTCGCATCAAGAAGGCTCTAATTGCCGTCTCTTTGGCAGAACAGGCTGCATTACTTCTTCAAACGAGCACATTCATTAGCATTAGCAGCCCCGTCTCTCTTGTGTTCTTTAATGTTGTATAAGGTAATCAATGTATAGACACATAGCGAGCGTCAGATGTAAAAGACCAGATGGTGCTGTTCCATCAATAATGCATGGAAAGATTCCTTAATGAAGGTAACATCGTATTATCGTATCTTACATGTTAATTATGGGGCAGTGTGATACAAAATGGAATGTGATTTAAATATGTTATATAATACTGAATAAGTGTTATACGTAAAGATGAGGAAGAGAGCAGCGGTGGACAACTGATGCGACAAATATTTGCATATTCATAAGAAATATCCTCTTAAACCCGAGTTTATCGTTCCACTGTATCGTAAGCATGTGTTTATGAAACATTATTACACAGTGATTTTACAAGGTGTTCGTCAGTGTGTTCTATTTGATGGCCTCCGTCACAAACACATGCAAAGACAATTGAGTGAGTGAGTTTAGTTTTACGCCGCACTCAGCAATATTCCAGCTATAATGCGGCGGTCTGTAAATAATCGATTATTGACCAGACAATCCAGTGATCAACATCATAAGCATTTATGTATGCAATCGGGGGTGTCAATCGTGTCAATCAATGACATGTGTCAACCAAGTCAGCAAGCCTGACCACCCGACCCTGTTATAGTCGCCTTTTAAGACAAACATGGGTTACTGAACACCAATTCTAACCCGGATCTCACGGATATGTCCGTATTAAAAAGGTGTAACCTACGCACTATGTACTGAAAGCTTTCAATTTCTTGTTCAGTTGGTCGGGTTCCAAGCATCTGAGCATCGATCTACGCAATTGGGATACGATCACATGTGTCAGCGAGCCTGACCACCCGATCCTGTTAGTCGCCTTTTACGACAAGCATGGGTTACTGAAGATCAATTTTAACCTGGATCTTCACGGGTGTAAAGGCATTTGGGATACGATAGCAATAATGAACCTTGCCAGCATTCCAAACCAACCGACCCCGTTTATGACAAAAGCAATGGTTTGTTGAAGATCAATTCTCATCAGATCTTCACGGGTCGAAAGGAACTGGTTTTTTGTGTCTTAAATCGGATAGCCATACGTGATGAAGTAAATATTAAAACGCTTTATTATCCATCATGATGAGGAGCTGGAAAGCGGTGAAGAGTGACACTTTTTCCATTCACGATCTTCCCACGATAATTACTACAAACACAACAGTAGTGTCGATACGCAGACTTTGAAGTCTTTTTTTTCACTCCATCCGCGTCATTGGTAACGGGATGACCGTCCTCCATTTTTCCTCTCCGGAATTAGGGCGACCTACCTTTTCATTGTTTCAGCGAACAAACGAGCTACAAAGGGGAGGAAATGTTCAAGGGAGATAACAACCCTTATTGAACTGCACTATACATCTACTTACTCATTCTCTTCACACAGAGGTTACTTGTCATATCGTCCTACGAACCTCTGTTCTAATACGGCCATATTTCCCGGTTCTCGTAAAATCCCCTAGCGGCAAAAAATCGCAACACGAATTATCTCCCTTCTTTTTATCCAATCAGAACACGTGATACATCGACTTAGATCCCACTTGACTAATGCAAGTGAAAATGGGGCCACAAATATCCAGCTTCTCTGCCGGGGATTTGTGTTGATGTGACACACAAGACATGTAATGGCAAGCTTGTCCGTTGTCCTCGAGATCCGGAGTTCTGTCTAGAAGAAACGTTTGCGCATCGCGCAAGGGAAGAGGTTCTAGTTTTCCCGAAGCATACTGATATTACCGAGGCCTTGCGAAGGATCACTTTTGAAACAACGTCGCTGATTGCACAACTAAGTCTGATTGCAACCAATCACGAATCCTGAACACTCGCACCATGAAAGGGCCGTATTAGAACAGAGGTTCGTAGGAAGATATGACAAGTAACCTCTGTGGGAAGAGAATGCTACTTACTGGTCTCTCCTTAGCGGTCTCTCTGTATTTGATAACAGTGTCACGTAATGGGTTGTAAAGGTTGATATCACAAAGAAACGTCAATTCTGTTATCGAAAACTCCCCATAATGATACTTTTGTGCTTCATTAGCAATGTCCAGAGGAAGTCTTTAAGACAAAACAAGGTGCCCGGCAAACAATGGCTGTCAGGTGCTTCTTTCTGAACTTTACGCAAACCGCAAATAACGAGCTTCCAATAAACCGTAACATTCCGATGGGAATTGCTGAACCTGATTTCCTCTTATCATTTTATCATGTCATTTATGCTTTCAACTCTTCAGTATGGTGAACTTCACGTGGAGCAATTACGATGTTCTCAATCCTTCAGGGGAAGGCCTTTTTCAGAACAATGAACAACAAATGAGTGAGTGAGCTTAGTTTTACGCCGCTTTTAGCAATAGTCCAGCAATATCACGGCGGGGGACATCAGGGATGGGTTTCACACATTGTAATCATGTCAAGAATATAACCCGGGTCTTCGGTGTGACAACGCTTTAAGCACCTGGCTATCCCGTTGCCCCGTTGAAGGTATAGTCCGTTTGGCTCAAAAGCGGACCGATGAATTGCAACGGATGGAGACGGCACAGCACAAGTTAATGAATAAATAACTTTGTCTGTGAACGTGCTTCTCGAACACCTGGCTGTCCCTTTCTCTGCACTCCTCCCTCGTAACAAACAGTGAACTGTGTCAATATTTTAATGATAGTTTGTTAAACAACTTTATTATTTTTACAGAGTTGGTATGATGTTTTGATTATGATCAGCGT